ACATAACAACGATTTGTATATTCAGGTGAATATACACGAATGAAAACATACCTATGTGGATAATATTCCATTTCTGACAATAGATCCTCCTAAATGTTACACACTGGACATTTTGACTGGTTTTACAAATATGCCTCTAGTATCTATGCCCTATAAGTGCACCATGACCTTCAAGCTGAATCTACCTGCCTGGATCTCCAACCGGTGGGCCTAGCAGCTTGCGGACTGTGAGACAGGTCGAGGTGTTGAAGGCTCACCTCCAGGGTGCTGAACAGCACATTGCATGTCAGGAGGAGAAGGTCAATGAGTTCTCTGCCAGGCTGGAGACACTGACAACAGAGAAAGAGTCCCTCGGGAAACAGGTTGAGCAGCTCACCAACGAGGTAAAGAAAAAGAAAGAGACTGGTGCTGACTGAGCAGGGAAAAGCTGGGAAAGAATCTGCCACTTGAGGAAGTTAAAGAATAACAAAAAGAGATGTGAGAAGTCAACATCCAACAGACCGCTACACCTGAATGTGCAGCCGTTGCAGTAATTAAAATGTCTTTATCCAGCTGATGTGAAGAATTTTGCCTAAGCCATTTAAAATCAAATTCAATCAGACATCGTCGTTTTCAGCAATAAAACAGATTAAAACAAAAATGTAGAAAGTTTGAAGGAGCTACTAGCCGTTGCAGCTACATGTACAGCCAAGTTTAAGATCATCCATTTTCTTTTAAAGGACCAGTTTGTAGTATTTAGTGCCATAGCAATGAAGGTGCAGATTGCAACAATTTGAATACATCTCATCCTTCAAAGCATATAGGAGAAACCATTTTGGACATAAAACTCGTGAAAAACACAAAATGCCCTATCCAGAGCAAGTGTTTGGTTTGTCCATTCTGGGCTACTGTAGAAACATGGCGGTCCAACATGGTGGCACCCATAAAAGAGGACCTGCTCCCTCTGAAGATAAAAACGGCTCATTCTAAGTTAAAACAACCATAAAGATTCCTATTTTTAAATGATTATACACTAATGAAAACACGTCATATTATATTATTTCTGCCAACAGATCCTCATAAATGTTACACACTGAACTTTAACAGAAAGGTAATGTAGTCCCACTCTCTTTTCCACACACACTCTATGAAACCCACATTTGCACACTCACTTGATGTGTGCAGACACCCTTGCAGATGCAAGCCAATGCCGTCGTCTGTGTGGTTACCATGGCAATATCGAGCGATTTCCTCCTCCACTCCCCTGAGTGGTGGGTATGGCAAGTGGTAAGGAACAAAGGTGAGACAATGGTCTTGAAAATACAGAAGTTGGACGTGAGGAGCAATGTACTGGACTGAGACACACACACATAGACTTACATTCAGTTCCTGGAGACTTACCCTAATCCTAACCACTACTAGGCCTAAACCTAGACTCACAAACCAGTCTAGGAGGAGTTTCCTCGGATTTTTTGATAAAACTGGGTGGAAACAATTAGAGGGTTTAAGAAAACCTGCATTGCAGAACCAATCCAAAGTCTTTAGGGCAAAAGTCATGTGCTTGTAAACACTGTTGTTACAAAGTGATTTTCTATATCTCTAGTTTGTTTCATTACGGCGTGGGGGGAGAACATTGTTTCAGGCGGCGTGTCCTTGAAGTAAGGGGTGTTGTCAGCGACCATTCTCGCTGCCATTCAACCAATTACTTGTACTATTGCATTTAGAAATCCCCAGACAATTAGTACACACTGAGCTCTCCAATCATCGGTTACCGTGAGACTAGAATAACCCTAACCCTTACACTAACCTTATTCTTACCTTAACCACTGACCAAAAAATCAGCTTTTTCTCAGTAAGACAAGCTGCAATTAACAATTAACTAAGCAATTAACTGTTTTTTGTCAGTACAGTAGTCAGAACATCAGTCCCATTCAGGAAACAACTACATCATTCTGTTGTGTCACACTTTCACACTTGTAGGAGAAACAACAAGCCAGTGTTTTGTTGTCTGTTCTGTGCTACTTTAGAAACATGGCGGTTTAACATGGTGGACTTTTCAATAAAAACATACTTATACATATTAGATTAAATTTCTGCCAATAGGTCCACATAAATGTTACACACTGGACCTTTAAAGCAGCTATAATCAATCTTTTTATATTAAAGGATCAAATGGCAGTGTGTAATTTGAAAAGGCTCGCTCCTAGTGACAAACCCACCAAGAATTATTACCTGACTCCGCAGTTCACCTCAGCTCTACAAAGCTTAATAGCATCTTTAAGCTCATTGTTTTGGTTTTATGGACCGAAGCTTTACTGTTTGGTTCAGTTTCACAGCTCTCATCAACCTCATTTCCAGAAGCAAACAGCTGTTTTCAGCAAAAAAGCTCTGATAAACCCACTACCCACTACTGTCCCAGCACCAAACATCGAACAGTAACACACACAAACTTTTTTGTTATTTGTCCACCAAAACAAATTAACAAATACTGCATACTCCTTGAATGGCTTGCTCCAGGCTGTGTCCATATAACTGACAGGTGACAGCAACACTTTTTCGGATATCTCACAGATGGCAAAGTTATGCTGACAGGCTGTTGTGACAGAGGTGGATGTTGGTATGTAAACAGTGCTGAGCTGGTGTTAGCGTGGGATAAATTATCATGATATCCAGTCCCCAGGAGCTTGCTTGGGCTGAGTATTTGTCTGTCAGGGTCCCTGTGTGTCTTTCTCGATGTGTGTGTGTGTGTGTGTGTGTGTGTGTGTGTGTGTGTGTGTGTGTGTGCTCCCCACCTGTGTGATACTTGCTGGGCCGCTCACTTTCTCTGACAGCAGTCCTTTTGTGTCTATATTGTCCTGAGCCGCTGCAGGTTATTTCCCCACCTATTGTCCCCTTTCCACACTGCCAGAAACTATAATTCAGCTCTAACCAAGCGAGAACAGTACAGCTCTGTTGAACGCCGCTTCAGTTAGAGTGAGACAACTCTGGCAGTGAAGGACGGGTGGAGCGTGTAATGGTTTGGGGACTTGTTACACTGGGAGGACTGGCCTGTAAATGGAGATACACGGGGCCCCATGAAACCAAACACACTCCTCAAAGTGAAACTACACACTTATCAGGTGAAGCTACTGTTAGGGCAGCTGTTGCCTGTAGTCAGATGTGTAGAGAAACATCAAATATTGTCTTTTGTGGTTGAGTTACAGCATGTCACTGCATGTCACAGTGAAGTAATGTAAGAGCTTGTGATTGCTGGCTTACAGGCTCTGCACTAAAACGTTGCAGTGCTTTGACAAACAGCAGTTCATCTTGCAGTAAAGCTGAAATAGTATAACATATCTGACAGCTGGCTGTGTCACTGCTGCTGTCAAGGGAGAAATAAGAAAAAAATGCCAGCTTCTTTGATTTTAATGTATTTGTTTTGTTAGCCTGGCTTCATTCTTTAGTGTTTTGGGCTCATTAAACCCATTCTGAAATCATTTTATTACGTTTATTGCAGTTTTGTACAAAATATGTGTATTTCAATAAGACGTACCACTTGGAGATACTAAGTCTGCATCCAATTGCAACATTGTGGTGTAGAACAGTGATGTCTATGTATGCGGCTGTGTTCCTGGCGGTGTTACAGTTTGCTATGGCTTAGATCGGTGAGTGGCTCTGGCTCCCTGAAGCCGGATTCGCACCAAACCACCGCAAGCATTTGACTGTCTCTGTGCATTCAGCCAGAAACTGCAGCCGATCCAACAGGAATAGCAACAGGACACTGTTGACTTGATTAATGTTGGAGGCGAGGAGACCAGCCAAGAATGGGAGTCACAGAGTTTGGTTGTGCTTCTTTTTTGTTAGCAGCAGGGGCTGACGCTTTGGAACAAGGCCTGGGTTTGGGATAGGTGGTTTTGGGTATGGTTTGGCTCCAGTTAGTGGATGGAATTGAGCTCAAGTGAGGGCCAGAGTGGAACTGGAGCCATGGTGCTCTCGAGTTTTGTCCTGTATTTGAGAATGGAAATGTACCTGAATTGTGGGCAGCCAGAGGACTTTTATTATTTATTTAGTTCCTTTATTCCAGTAGCTTTATATTCCACCTTGGTGTTCTGGCAAATCCCATGCTGTCTGACAGTTTGTCTTACCTTAATAAGTCCTCGCATGTTCATTTATACTCTCTCATTTTTATCAGCTGGACTGATCGAGAAATCCACATATACAATGGGAACCACCAGGAGAGATGTTCCTAAAGTGATTTAATGGGGCCCACTGATACGGAATAGTGGTTTACTTGAAGGCCGGGATTCTGTAAAAACTCACCTTCCTCTGGGCTTTCCACAGCTCTTTAAGTAGGACCCTGTCTAAGACATTATATACCCACCAAGTTTTCATTCCTGGTCCCACGAGCATGTCTTTTGTGTACATATATAAATTGGATTCTTGTTGAAACAAAGATACCTATTACCATACTAGACAACTCATAAGAGCCTTGGCTGAATGGAGTAAAAAGAAAATACCCAACCAAATATTACCTACAAACAGTGACAAAACTCATTATGTGTAATTAAAAGTGAGAACACAACGCAATGGAAAGGATTTTTGTTGAAATCAGTGGTTAAAAGTAAGTGAAAAAATAGAAAGGATATAGTATAAGGGTGTGTCATTACGTGTTTCCAAATTCATTTTTAGCCATCTCTAACTTCGTGTTTTAAATTAGACCCGATGCATCATAGGTTATAAGAGGCGTACAAAAGATGGTCCAGTAAACTCACTCAGCATCGTAACATGAAGGCAACCAATACCCCATGTGTTCTGACAAAG